GACGGAAAGATGATGAGACAGAAAGAGAGCAGGAACACCTGAAGGAGACAAACAAAGTGTGAAAAAATAGCAAAATTTTAAAGCGTAATAGCAAAGATGAACACAACGCCGTAGCAGACGACTTTACCATAACACAAGTGCTGGTTGTGCTGGCCTTCAAAGTAGACATCTTCACTATAGCCTGGAGTTTCTTCAGTTGCTCAATCAGAGACCTATGAAATATAGAAAGGACACATTTAGAGTAATGAAGCTTGTTGTTAAAAAAGGAGCAAAGGGGAAATGTCCAAGACTTCTTACATGTTCTGTTTCTGAAGCAGCTGGACTTTCTTCTGAAGTTCCAGGTTGTGTGCAGTGCAAACAGCAACCCTGAAGAAAAAATTCATTCAATAATTAGTCCCATTATATTTGTACCAACATTGCGCAGATACAATTTGAGCCTTGCACTTACAGCATCTATAATCCCGATTGCCCCCCAAATTTGTTAAATTATCTTTGTAGCTACCTGTTTTCCAGCCCATCAACATACACCTTCTTCTTCTTGCGGCTCTCCTGAGCAGACTGCTTGTTGCGGATCTTCCTCCTGATCCTCTTCAAAGTCCTCTCCTCTGCCTGTCAACCAAAGTAAAGGAGGCTTTCAGCACAATGCTGATATGACAGCAGCGTTGTGCCTTAAACTGCTGCACCAGAGAAATACAAAAAGAAGATTTTAATGTTTTTGCAACCTTTCCCCACCCCGCACCTCCACCCCCCTCCCCCCCCCCCCCAAAAAAAAACAAGGTGTCACTTCTGAGAAGGTAAGTAAAACAAACATCTAGAATTGAAAGAGATATGAAACGAAATCCACATGTGGTCAGAAATATTCAATGTTCTGTGAGGGGACAATTATACACAGATAGAAGCTCACAATTACCTTGGTGAGAGGCATGTGCTCGGGAATGGTGGATCCTTCTTTTGCCAAAAGCCGCTTCTCCTCCTCAGTGAGAACAATTTCTTTAAACTGGAACTAGATGGAGAAAAATCAAAGTACTGAAACATTGCTCATGTAAACAAACTTAAATACTTAAATATCATGAATCAGTGCCTTTCTAATAAACAAACCATTTTTAATAATAATTATTTTAACTGCATTATTGTTATGCTAAACATCTGTAAGCATGTAAAACTAACCTGGTCTACTTTGGTTAGCTGAGCTAAATCATGTGCAGAGTTCTCTATGGCCAAAGTACACGGCAGCTCAGTGGTGAAGTCCTCCTCCATAGCATCACTCACCAAGTCATCTGTTACAAGAGAGTCATTTTAAATAAATATAATCTGTATGTTTACATAAGTTCTTGTAGTTGGGTTTTTATTATTATTATTATTTCAAAACTCCACAACACGTACCCAGATCAATGAAGACATCTGTATCTGGCTTCTCTGCCCTGACACTCTCCAGCACATCCATATCTCTGACTCCACTCTGCAGCAGAGAGTAGCTGTGATCTGCATGGACCGACAAGGCTTCAGGGCTCTCTGCTTGCAGCTCTTCTGAGGTAAGGGTGGGGTCAGAGTGCATGGGGCTGGGGTGAGAGTAGCTGGGACTGGGTACTATGTCGCTTTCACTGCCGTGTGGACTTCCCAGAGTGTTATTTCCAGCGCCAGTGCTGCTGTCGTCAGAAATGCCGCTGTCGCTCCCCAGCGGGGAATGAGACGGACAGAAGGCCTCCACGTTGTCATCTCCATCTAACAAGCTGGACAGGAAATCTTCAGTATCCATACCTGTCAACATCTACAGACAAAAATCAATTCCATTGGTAAAATTGAACATGAAAGTAATGCCTTGGATAGCTGGTTGTAGTGCTTGACGCCTTACTTCTTGCTCAGACAGCCAGGATTCAATAAGCCCATCTTCATCCTGAAAGAGGGGCTCAGTGGATCCATTGTTGCCGTCTTGGAACAGCAGCCCGATGAGGTCTGCCCCATCCATGTCTGGAAGGTCCTCAGTGGCTGACATCTGTGGCAGAACATCAGCAAACATTTTTTATCATGTCATAAAAGATCAAATAATATGAGAGTTTGGATGACGGCTGGTTGGTGTATTAATGAGGGCTGCATTCAACTTCGAGAAACATCTGCTTTCACAAATAGTTTTTATTGCATTATCAAGTCTTTATAGCATCTGAATGGTTTCACATTTTCTCACATTATTGCCACACACTTTATTTTTATTTGGATTTTATGTGGTAATAATTCAAAACAAAGTAACATGTGCTCAATGAACTGAAACAAACAAAAAATGTAAACATACTACTATATAGCTATTCAACTAAACTGACAGGTCAGACATTGATCAAAGAAACAACTAATTCAACAAAGGCAACATTGCAAAACTTTTTTGCTCTGGATGCTAACACACATTCAGAGCTACACAAAAATTTAATTCAGAATTTGAGGCACGACTTGACAAGTACTGCAGCAAATCTCATCAAAACAAGACGAGTTTAATTAATTTTTCAGAAAGAACTGAAAACTTTCATTTCAACAACATACAAAGCTGATACGGACCAGCAGTTGGATTTGCAATAAAATGTTGGGAGAGGAGGGATAAATACAAACACAACAGAGATATGTTCATAATTTCAAAACCTTATTTAATTGTTCTTCCACCTAGTTTTGCAATTCTTTGTATTGTTTTTTTCCACAAACAATCTCCACAACTTCCATCAAAGTTTGTGATGTTAATAAGAATAAACATTAAGATACTCAAGGTTTATGAATACTGCTGGAAACCACTGTAGATATCACAGAAAGCCAGCTGGCCCCAGTACCTGGAGTCAAAATGCCTGTAAAAATATTATCTATGCTAATTTAATAATTTTTTTAAACAAAAATAATTAGCAATTTTAGTACACTATTTCCATGAAAGGCCTTGATAATAAGTAGTTAAGTTCAGCCAAATCAAAACAAATCAAAGCATTTTATTATTGTTGCGCAGCGGCAACCACGTGGCCATTCACGCTTTTCAAAAATAAGATTTTTTTTTTTTTTTTTTGCTCCATGAACGTGTATGCATCTGCAGAAAAAGATTTTAATGCGCTTTCGATTACAACGTTTGGTGATGTTGCGTTATCACAACAGCCTCGCGATTACAACAATGCGTCAGAACAAAGGGGACCTTTCTCTGAATCCTCTCAGCCTATGCTGCATTTAATTCCTCATGTGGCCTCCAGGCATAGGTTGAAGCCTATTTTCTCAGATCAGTAACTAATTACGTTGGGTTAAAAATAAATGGATTTTCTCGTCTGAAGCAGCTGACAACGTGGTACAGTGTGTCTGTGAACCGTCTAATGTTGCATCATCTTAAACATTTCAGCATGACCTCATCCCATAATGTGCCCCGCCCCCATACCCTTCTGACAGGATCTGATACAATATGAAATGTCAAAACAAATAACACCCATAACAAATAGATTAATAAAAGGAAGGTGGTCAAAAGGTTCAAACAAACACTGATTTTCGGCTTGATTAAGAGTTTTTTTTGCTTTGGTTTTAAACCGCACCAATGCATTGCAATATGTCATGTTGTGTTCAACTACGATTAAAACGGAAAACGAGGGAGCTGTTTCATGGAGATAAAGCATAATATTTATTAAAGATACCACGGAAATGCAGCTGCGTTATTAATTCCAGCAAAAAGTAAGGAATATTTTTGGACTAACTGACTTCTCTTAGCTGTTCCAAGCATTATGTTAAAAGGCGTGGCTCCTTTTTAAACATAAAAAACACTACAAAACATCCTAGTATTGGTGGCAAAAGAAGCACATTTTCTTACCGTTTGATAACAGAAGATAATATCAACTCAAACAAGCTCGTTCGAATGCGTTTTGGTTTCTCTACTCAGGTTTTTTTCTTCCGCTACCGTGTACAGCCGAAGCTTCCTTCTGAAAACACCTTCCAACGAGGCAAAAAACGCGTCATCACGCAAAGGCGGAAACGAATTTAGTACGTAAGTTTTTTGGGGGGTGTTTATGGGAAACGTAGTCAAATGCTTCATAAGCTAGTTTGTACTACTAACCTATTTTTGGTGTTTTGTGAATTTGGAACCTTATTATACAAACAAAATCATTAAAATATCACATAAAAGTAGTTCTACAAATAAATTATATATTTAGTAAAGTGATAATTTATTATTAACAAGGCATGTGTAGCACATACACAGTAAAATGTTATCCTTTTTTTGCAAGATCTAATGTGGATCTAATTTTGTAAAATTGCAAAAAAAAAAATATAAATCAGTGTAATAAAACTATAATTTAAAATTTAAGTGAATACATACATCTTTTATTGCTATTGTTATGGATTTACAGCTCATTTACTATTAAGTAAATGGGCTGTACAGTAAGAAGTAATAAAAACTTCTTAAACTGCATTAAGCTTAATCAAATTCAAAGACTAGTTGTTTGTGTTTTTTCCCTATAACCTATACTTATTGATAAACTATATTTAGCTACATTAAAAAAAACTGCCTGTACAGTTTATAAAGCAAAACATATACACATTTTAGCAATAACACTTACAATTATGCTTTTTTTTAATTTAAAGCAATATTATACTGAATAATTCTCAGAATTATAACAATGGTCTTGTGAAAAATATCTTTCTTGTAATGTTAATAATAGTCACATAAGGTACTAGCAGCTGATACACAGGCTGTGTACTGACATTATTTTAAAAAATAATTATGAAAAGTTCTTGTGCTACAGAAAAGTAATGCAAGTAATACACATTTACATACACTAGTAAATGTGTAGTATATATTTTAACATTATTTATAAGTGGAATTATAAAGTTACCTATAAAATTAAACCATTTGTCAATAAAAAAAACTAAATATACATAAATTACTTACGGAGCGATAACGCAAGCTAATTGAAGTTTTCTACATGAAACTCAATCAGATATAAAGAGATTATCTTTTTTGTTGTTAGCTTTTATTCTTCAATGAACAGAAGCAGTTTAGTTTTCATTTGACATTTATTTCCATCAGCACGTTAGCATCGACATAGCATTGCATGATGTAGTGAATCGGTCTCAGACCTTGAACCTGAAAGTAATGTTTTACCACATTAATTAATCTTCTGTTAATTGGTATATCTGTCATGAAATCGTACCTCAGTGTACCCGTACTCACCTTGCTTTTAGTCAAAAGTTGGTCAACAAATTGAGGCTAATGACATAAATATTTGGAACATCTCACAGAGATACATCACATATGACCCTTTCACCTGTATCATTATTGAAACCAATTTGATTTCAAAACAATGAAAAATAAGGCATTTCAGAAAATTTCACTTAAACATCAAATCTACCAACTTTAATGCACTGAATTTATGTTTTTGTTTTCATATTACTAATATCGAGCCTTTTTAGGGTGTTTCTGTTAAATTGGTTCTTTTGAACCTGGCAATAATTCCAACAATGAGCATAGAGCTGATAGCTAACAGTGTATTGTCTTTATGACTCAAATAAAATTATTAGCAGTTTAACCATTATGCTGACTTATAATTATTTACATTCCATACCTTATTAAATCTGATAAAATTTTTTATCTCAAAACAAAAAAGTAAACATAATAAACTTTCTGCAGTCTTCTCGTAAAGACTAGATTTAGAAGAAAAGGAAAACATACTAAGTAAGAAATATCAAGTTTCAGCAGCTCAGTGAGGTCATAGTACGATTATTTTGACATATACTACTGGTATGAAAAGCTTTGCTAAAGCAGTCTGTGCAATTTAACCCCAGACCACATAATCACTGAATTTCCATAGTAAAGCTTAACATTTTTGTCACAGAACCACACACAGTTTAGATGTGTGCCGCAAACTGCGGTACACTTTTAGTCGCTCCTTTTTATTTGTTGTAGTTGGCCCAACTTTCTGTGTGACTGCTGGCGTCCTCTCAACCACCCGTTTCTTTTGAGCCCGGTGTAGCAAGATCCGATAGACCCCAGTGATGGAGCTTCTGCAGTCTTTTCCCTGGTTGTTGAATATGTGCTCTGAAGTGATTCCCAGAGTCTCTAATGCAGCCTTTACCTCCAGCTCTTCCTCCAGCAGTTCAGCTGGGGTGCTCTCAGCAAGGTGAGATGGATCTAGCTTACAAGGCTCCATGGCACATGGGAATTCCACAGGGAGCAGCCACTCACAGCCCATCATCTGTTCCACTGTATAGCGATCCGATGGGACTGGCTGGAGAATCCCCCTGATGAGCCTCTGGCATGCCTCTGAGACCCATGGGGGAAGCACATAGGCTCCCTCCAGGATGCATCTCTTAAGTTTGGCCACAGTGTCTGCCCTGAATGGCATGGTGCCGGTCACCATAAAAAACAGCATGACCCCCAAAGCCCAAATATCTACATAAGCTCCTACATAATGCTCATCCCGGAAGAGTTCTGGAGCCGCATAAGGTGGAGAGCCGCAGAAAGTGTTGAGCATCTCATCGCGGTGGCTCAGTGTGCTAAATCCAAAGTCCCCGACTTTGACACAAGAGCTGCTTGTGTAGAAGACATTTTCTGCCTTTAGGTCACGATGGATGATGTTATTTTCATGCTATGGGAGAAGAATAGAAATCATAGTCATAAACATATCATCTACCTAATCAAGATAAGTACCGGTAACTAATAATGTCATGTGACACCAACTCCCATTCGATTAAACTCGAGTTACGAGTTTAACGTAAATTTCATTTAAATTTCAGAAATTGACATGTAGATTTGATCTTTGAGTAGAGATTAAAAAAGGCGATGCCAGGTTTTATTAACAACATTCCAGGGTGTGAAAAAATGACTGAGGTCAGAAAAATTAAACATATTTATATCCCTGGGATATTTAGATATACATGTATTTCTATCCAACCAAAAACTTTGCCACAAGAATCCAAAGCATAAAAGGAAAAAAAATGTGCACCATGTAAAAAAAAAAAAAAAGTTCATCTGCCAAGGTTATGACAAATTTTAGGAAAACATGAATCTATTTAAATTATTAAGGAGGAGTTTGAAAATAAATTCAAGTGGGACAAACTTCCAGAAAGGAAAGTTCATTTTATGTTTAAGTTTCATTTCATTGCATACTCAGACATGCGTACTGTTAATTCTGAGAGACACAAAGAATATCAATATTTTGATGGCATGGCTATTGGGACTCTAAGTTACAGAATGTATTCATAGTACAATTTATTGTAATTCTACACAAATATATTCCAGTAACATATGTGTATAAGTACTCACCATGTGTTTAACAGCTGAGAGGATCTGAGCAAAGACAATCTTGCTGTCAGTGTCAGAAAGTTTTCCTTCTGTAGTAATCTTAGTGTAGAGCTCCCCTCCACCTGCATACTCCATCACCAAGTGTAGCCGTGACAACGTCTCCACCACCTACAAAGGATACAGAGATAGAGGCATAATGATCTCGATAAAAGAAGGCTGGTTGTAAAAAGGAAAAGAAATCTAAAGACAAACCTCATATAGGCGTATAATATTAGGGTGATGCAGTTTTTCCATGCTGGAAATCTCTCTTGAAAGCAACCTCTGAGTCTTCTGATCCAACTTAGTTTTGTCTAAGATCTTAATGGCCACTTTGTCTGGTTATACCAAAGAGAGAATTAATAATCAACCAGAGCTCAATCATGTGACAGAAAGAAATCCTGTATTTTTTAAATTCTGATTTAAACTAACAACATATATAAAGATGAAAATTATATGAAAAAAAACAACAGACACTGACAATCTACTCATATTAAGAGTTTTAGCTGCCCTTTAAAATATTTTTATTTTATAGAATCTCATTTATAGTGCCATCTTAAAATGAAATTTACTTTTATATATCATGGGAACTTCTTTTTGAAACAACAGCTACTTGAGGTGTAAGTATAATAAATTTGCAATCCAAAAAAGTAATATTAAAGATCTAAAAACTTTACAAATATTTCATTTAAGTACCCCAGCTGTTGGCTATGTGCCTTTAAATCATTTATGGAGATCCTTAAAACAACTCTCAAGTAACTGAATCCAGAAAAGTTCTCAAGCAGCAAAATGGTGTTGAGACATCTCTTTGTGCTCCAGCGTGAATTATTAAGGTGGGTATTAGGCTCAGTTTCAGATGCAATATAGTTTCAATAGCAGCATTCAAGATGCAACCCTGTTCATAATGTTTTAGAATCAGAAATAGAGCTTAAATGCAAAAATGTACTCATAACACAAAGAGGAATAAAGTCGCAAACTATACTAAAGCACCCACAATCTGACAAAACTACACACTCATTCGTGGCCCCATCTGTAGCATTTGATGAGGCATGCAACAATTTTAGCTGTCGCTAAGGAAACTGGAGATCTCTAATCAATCCCTTAGGTCAAGTGCAGCAGACAGTTACTCTGTTTGTAGATGAATCAGCCTCCTCACCAGGAAAAGAGCTGCTTTATTAATTATCATGAAAAAAAACCTCTTGCTCATTGATCACAACGACTTACTCCTGAAAGAACAGAAAGCTTACTTTAAAGTTTTCTATACATGGGGCTTTGTTTGTATCTGTCTTAGGTGTCATATTATTTGCACTAATTACCTTTTGTAAGAGCATGAATTCCTAGTTTGACATGGGAGAAATTTCCACACCCTATTTCGCCACGAATCTTGTAGAAGGCAATTCTTCTGCCCACTGTCAGCTCACGGACCACCCTGTGACCAGATTATGTAACACGAAATGTGACACTGATATTTTTTCCATAATTTAACAAACTCACACAAGAAAGGATTGTAGTCTAAGGCAGTCAATCAAAAATGGAAAAAGTAGCTCAAGTCCAAAGAAATGTCAGACTGTAAAAAAAAAAACTTTTTTTCTCTGAAATCTTACCTTTCATCCTGACACATATCCAGGTTCAGCCTTTCCAGAGGAGTTAGGCGACGAACAGTGGCTCCCTCATCATCTGTGTTGATGTCAGAGCTATCCTGCCGGCTCCAGCGGCTATACCTTTGTCCGCCAGAAACCACAGCTGTCCCTACAGTGGACCCTCCAACAGAGTCTCCGTTAGACTCCCTGGAATCTGCTCCTGAGACTGAGCTGTTCCCAGTGGTGCCTGCTGTCCCTGTCCCAGCTTCAGCTCCATCTGGGCTGCTGTCGGAGGGGCAGACAGCAGTCATCCTGCAAGGGACGCTCAGGGAGGAGTGGGCTTAGGCCATAGCTAGGAGTAATGCAGAATGGAAGAAGTCATTTTCTACTTTATTTTCTTTTTCATTTGTTACTTTCCTAAACTTTGAGCATCTGAAGATATTCTTCAAGTTGAATTGAAGACATCTCTGACTATTTTATTTTTATATAGGCAAATTTTAATGAATTAGAATAAAACTAAAAAGTAATTCCAATATTTCAGTGAATAAAGTGAAAACCATGCAGATTGAATGCACACAGAGTGAAAGAATAAAAAAATAAAAAACTGGCAAAAATCATAAGATAGAAATGTTATGTTAGGGGAAAAAAATCACAGGGAAGATTAAAACTAAAAGATTAACTTGACAGTTATAATTGAAGTCCCCCAAAAGGAAGGTAAGCCACAAAAATACATTGCTCCTTATGCTAACTATTGCCAGAGAGCAGAACCCAAGTATATTATTTGAAAGTTAAATAGAAAGGAAAATTGTGGTAGAAAAATAACCAGGATAAATAAAAAGCCAAGTGTTAGCAGGTGAATAAAGTTTGGTTTGTGGCTGAAGTCGCAGCTTCCAATACCCACCTCAGGATATGGGATAAAACTGTCACATTCCTTCTGTTAAGTTTCACTCAGATAAACCAGACTGAATTGTTTTACTTATTTATACTTATGAAAGTAAAAAAGAAGTCCAAAGTCCATTTTTAAGACAAAAGTAAATTTAATATTTCATTTGTAAATCAAGATCAGGGTTTAGGGGAAGAGCAGAAAGGAAAATAATCCAATCCGAATAAGGTACAGTGTAAAGTTTCCACATTCTGTAATGATTTGGGGATTCATGTCTCCTAGTGTTGGTCAATCGATTGTCCAAAGTCAAAAGCAGCCGGAAATCATATGGCATTACATGCTACCCGTGCTGACAAGCTTCATGGAAACATTGATTTTCTTGTACTATTTGGCATCTATCCACACTGCCAAAAGTACCAATAAAAGGTTATGCCTAGTGGACCAGCACACTGTTCTGACCAAAACTGTATGTAAAATCCATTGAGTAATGTCATGAGGAAAATGATAGACGCCATAACCAACACTGAAGAGTCACAGAAGGATCATCTTCATACCAAGCTGCACTAATGTAGTAATTCATCAAATAGGCCCCTTATCAAGAAGTAAGTACGTATGCTGCACTGCACCTCTGGGTGAGAATTTATTTTACTGATATTCTGTATTTTTTTCCTGAAAAATTACATTTTGGGTTGTAAGCCATAATCATAGCATAAATAGACATTATAAATGAATCTACATTATGCATTAGCAGACAATAATACAAGGTTTTAACTTATTATATTCATTATTTTGAGGCAAAATAATAATCATAATAATAATAATCTTCCAAGACTCAAAAAAACATTTTAATGTAATGAGATATAAAAGAAGGAAAATATAAGCAGTTACCCATTACATGGCTATTATCTGATCAAAATATATGTTTACTTTTACTAACTTCAACTATGTCACAAACAGAAAAAATAGACTTACCTTCTGGCATGTGGTTCATTTTCAAGATAAATCCTTTCAGATTTGTCACTGCATCATTGTTGTGTAGGCACTTCTATTGAAGAAGAAATATTCAGTTTCTTTCTTTATGTCAGCTCAACACTTCAGCACATATTTGCATCTAAAAGTCCATGTTTTATCCAAAATGTCTCAAGTGAGCTGCACAAAAAAATAATATGATCAGATTTTCACTGGATGCTTAAAGCTATGCTGTGGCATTTGGGGATTTCCTCTGTCAATCTTCCACTTCCCCTCGCTTATAGCTGTGTCCGAAGGTTCACCGAAGCATGTATTATCAGATTCATGCTCACTGCTGTCTCGGAGCGGCGGCATTAATGGAGCCTTTTGTGTCTGAGTATTAATAGGCCATGAGGTGAGGAGGAGGGAAGAGGAGAAGGACTCGAGAGGTTGAAAGAGTGAGGATGAACAGGTGATTGTGTCAGGGTGCAGCCACAGGGTGACAGCCAGGACAACCTGTGAAAAGAACAAAGACAAACAGATGCATAAATTTGAATTGGTTTTTAAGCCTATTCAGCTACTTAGTTTCTTTAGGAGGTTTGAAATTTGAAACCTGAACTTTACGACATCATTTAGAGGTCTATTTATAGGTTAATACATATTTTATGAACTGTATACAACTTTTCCCCTCACATTGTGTCATCTTGATGATGTAGCAGCAATATTAACATCTGTGCTTTTGTTTGAAACATTAATAAATCATGAATACCACCAAAGACATTTCTGCACCACTTGCAACAGAAGGCCAATACGCAGATCTTAAAAAGCAGAACACTTGGTCTTTCTTCACTCGAATGTACGATAATGCGTATTGTGATTCATACTTAGGAGCTCACTGACAGATTCAGGTTGCTATGGCTGCTGGGGTAAGCAAATCAAGATTTGGTAACAGAAAGAAAACCTTCAAAACTACTGGTGTGACTAAGCAAAATCATTTCAATTGCAGAGTGCTCACTGTCAGCTTCTTTATTTGTGTCTGTGAATCAGTGTGGTGGTGTGGTTGAATAAGCGTGGAAGAAGGTGATAATTGTATGCTGTTCAGAAAACAAAGCTCTAACGATGCCCCATGAGGAAGGACAGAAAAAAAACACATTAGAGATGAAAATTAACTAGGCTTATGTAAACATATTTATTACTAAATTATATGCCAAGTTTGTTCATAAAATACCCTGCACATTTCAGTTACCGAAATTAAACTTATAAACGTACAAAACCAATATAGGACAAGATAAATTTAGTTTTGATTAATCAATTGCTCAATATAATTTCATGGGAGTTTTAAATATACCGATACAATGGCATAATATGTCAAAAACTTTACATCAATTACCATGTCCTGGTTGGTTTACGGCTGCGCCACTCTTCAACCATTTTCAGATGTTTAACTGAACAGTGCTGAAACAAAGCAAAGAGATCTATATGCAAACAATCTGTGGACAATAATAAGCTTCATCAAACCTGTCAAACAAATTCATCACAAACATGTTTTAAAACTTTGTATGACAGAAACAGATTTAGTTACAATAAACGATGTTTCTCTCATGACAGATTTAACAATCTGTAAAAGACTAAGGGCGTATATTTTAAAACCCTGTAACTGAATTTTAATAATATAGGCATAAAACTATGAATTGCTCCAAAGATTGGTAGGAAGCGCATCTGATAATGGGTCTCCAGAGTCTTCAATCTGTTCATCACTGCCATTTGTAAATAGAATCGCCTAAAAATACTGTACATGAATATGATGTCATAAACTACAGCACGAGTCTGCAAACAGTCTGTCACCATTAAACACAATCTGCTTTGCTGCCTTTCTTACTCACTGCACAATTATTGCTGCAAGAATCACTTAAGGTAATCTCCTGCTGATTGTTCTGCTGCTATCAGCAGCTTCTTTATGGTTTCCAGCAAAAGAGAACTTAAGCAGCTCATCCACAGCAGTTGTGGATTAATTATTGCGCTATCCAGCAGGTATATTTCCCATCACCGACAAAACTCATGTTCTGTATTTGCACACAACATTTCTGCACCAGTTAGTGCAGAAATGTGGAGAACAGCATCCTCACCAGGCCAGTGAAATGCTTCCCCAAAAACAGACCATGGATCACCAGTAACCTAAAGGAACTGCTAAACAAAAGCAAAACAAAATTGTCTTCAGGGAGGGATTCAAAATAGATGGCATTTCAAATGGTTAGTTGAAAATATTCTATTACCTATAAGTCTAAGGCAACTTACAAGGGCTTTTAGATTGTCACAATTTAAATCCTTTCTGTTATTTTTAGTAGAACTGCATATATGTAGTCAGCTTACCTATAGCTTCTCACATCTCTCTATTTCCTTATGAATTATTTTTAAACATCTTATTGACACTGAAAATTGCTAATTTCCATAATAATACTGTTTAGACCAAATGTCTGCAGCTATTGTGACGCTGTCACCAGTTTGTAAAAGATGTATTTTTTTCTTGTTTGTTTCAGACTGGCCTGTTAAAATGAGAAAGCTTCACTCAAGAAGTGAAGCTTTGCACTATGTGGGGAGCTTTGAATCACTGACTCTGGACCTAATACTAATAATGTTTGGTTATACAAAAGACGAACACAAACAAGATGAATGAGCACCACCGAGGGACATATATGTCTCTGAGGCCTTAATGAAGTTACCATGACACTATGAACAGGAAGCACAAAAACAAAATGATGCTGCAGAGCAGCCACAGGCAAGCTTACATCTGCTGGTTCACATCAAAATCAAATTAATTTCTTCCAGCTTTAAAGAGCTGTCTGAGTTTGCATGTCATTCCCAATCAACACATCAAAGAGGTTTGCATCAAAGAAAAATCACATGAAGCAAAATGTTTTATGTACTCTGATTAATTGATCATCAAAAGAATAAAATTAGGAAAAGATTTTCTGCAGGTGGACATAAAAAGAACCACAAAAGGGGTCATTTTTGTTTTAACAATATGGAAAATTATTCAACAGCTTACAATGTAGATGAATGACTGAAATTTCCTTCTTAATTCGTCACATCTTCAGCCTATTTACTTCTGAAGAAAATACAAAATGTTCTCTTTGTTTTGTTCCTCGAAAGATTCATCTTTGGAGCACCAAACAGCTCCGTCCATTGAGACGTCACTGAACAAATTCTTCTGACATGCAAATTGAACCTCATTTGTTTAAAATCTAAAAATTGTCACAGCAAAACGAAACGCTTTGCAACAGGTGCCTTTGCAGTTCCACTGCCCTTCAGTCTTTGAGCAACGGCAAGTTAAGGTACCTCATGGTGTATTTTTTATTTTATTTTGTTTTTGTGAACCCAAGGAGAACGACACAAGCTCTCCCATCAGAGAAAGCAATAAAGCGGAACATCTCACCTTGAATGGGTCATGTTTACAATAAACGCGTATATTTTTCAGTAACAATAATATTGTCAAGGACGGAATACATCTTGAAGTGTGTCTATGAAATAATACACCCATCTCTGTTCAATCATAGTCAACAGTTAGCCAAAAATCCCCCACAGTAGGCCGTTTTCTGTGAGCCAAAACGCTTTCTATCATAACCCCATAGTACAAAATATATATATATAGCTGAGCCTACACATGGAAATTGATCTTACTTGGATGTGTACAGTATCTTCGTGAATCCGTGACAGCCTTGTTTACCAACCTTGGTGCCAAATCCATCCTATCCCCACTGCCCGGTGACATTGGGCGCTCAGGCTTTCTGCTGCAACTGCTGCCCAGCTCAGTTTGTTGTCAAGGAAATCCTCTTAAAGGACGGGCGGATGGACCAATCAGCGACGGCAACAGCGCTACACCGTGTCCAATGAGAAGGAAGAATTAGAACTCATTTTCTTCTAGGAGCAGGACAGCAGTCTAACACAAATAGCAGGTGGCGGGACTCTGCAGGTAATTGAAGCTGCATGTGTCAGGCAGCGTGATCCCGTGATGACTGTAACGGGACCACATCAGAGGTTCAGCGTGGGGTCAAGGGGCAAGGAGCTGAGAGAGTTCTTTATTACTTTAAATTTGACTGGCACTAGAGTTTGGAGTGTCTTAAAACCCTTGTTAAATTTGTTGGCAACCCTGAATGTGTACTTGGCATTCATAATAATTCTATATTCAAATTTCTTTTCCTTTCACTTTAAGCAAATTTGATTCTGTGTGGGGGTAAAAATCCCATTTTTAGATATAGCTGAGAGGTTTTTATATCTCCAATTTCTCTTTTATTAGCTCTCCAACTTTTAATTTTTTTTTTTTTTTTTTTTTTTTTACTTTAAGGTATTCAGCACAGGGTTAACCTGGTAAAAGGCGATGTTAATAACACTGATATATATTAAGACATATCGGGTTAATGAGCTGGTTCAGTCAAATGTGCAGTAAAGTCAAAACAGGCAAAAAGAAAAAGCTTTTGATGTTTGATCAGAATGTATGGACTTTCCATGCCTGCTAATAGGTATATAAATTTAAAAAAACATGACACAGAGGTGCTAACAGTGAAGATAATTGGTAAAAAAATAAAAAAAAATAAAAAATTAAAAGCAAGTGGCTATTCTTCTGTTGTGGAAATAAGACTTTTCTTCTGCTTGATTTGGAAAAACCTTTTATAATGTACATTAAGACAGTCCTTGCTGTGGCTTATTGTGGCTGTTCCTAAAGCTTATTCAGTTTCAATCATAATTTCTTGTGAATTATTTCAAGCTGAAATCTTTGATTTTCAGCCTTTGCATAAAAACAGAATACTCAGTAGTATGTTAAAGTAAATAGTAAGACATTATAGTCCAAGTCCTAAAGTACAAAAATGTTAGATTTTTTCTTTTCACTATGGAGGTATTTAAAAAAAAGAAAGTAAAAAACACTGGCTGAAAGTCAAATTCCTAATTCACAAATATTTACCAACATCTCTAGTTTCCCAAAGCACACTGCAAGTGATCTGATTTGACATCAGTAATTTATTGAGAAAAATGGATTGCTGGAGTCTTGAAGACTCAAGTTATGGGACAGAAAACATGTTTAAAATAAATACAATATTTTAAAGAAATCTTGATATTGCAAATCTCTCAAAAGATTCAGAGAAGTTCAGATATGGACATTCAATGTGACAGGTGATTATACAGATATGTGGTGTATCCCACATGCAGGAGTCCATTAAAAAATAAGGTGTCTGCAGTAGAAAACTTTCTTCTGCTTGATTTGGAAAGACCTTTTTTTAATGTAAATTAAGACAATCCTTGCTTTATTCTCATACAGCTACTGCTTGTTCAGCTTCCTCTAGGTTCACAATTTCATCCTCAATCTCTACTTCCACCTCAGAGTTGACCACATGGTGCTCATCAACTGCAGCTGTGTTCACATGGACCACTTGGATCTGTAACCCAGCCTGCTTTAGTCTCTCCAGGTCCTCCTCACATATCCCCCCCACTCCTCCATCTTCCACTACAACTGTTGTTGTGTCCTCCATTTGCATTACGTCCACAGGCTCTACCGTAACATGCTCAACGTGAATGCCGTCGTCCAGCAGGACGGTTTCAGTGCCTCCTATGCTTTGTGTTGCTATGGTGAGAGCGGCGGTTGCAGCTGAGTCGGTGAGGACCACCTGCTCCATAGACTTATCCTCAATAGAATGTACGTCTTTGAGATGCGTTTTAAGTTCTTTGGCGTCAGTGAACCATAGGTCACACATGGTGCAATGGTTTGGCTTGTCCCCCGTGTGGCACATAAGATGCTCCTTGAACTGGTCCCAGCTTGTAAAGACGCTACTGCAGACCTGATGGGGAAAAAAATTAAAGATTTGAACCAATTCATACTGGCATGTTCTGCATTTCTGCTGCAAAAGCAAAGTATAAAAAACACTATTCAACTTGTTTACACTGCAAAACAATGTTTTAGTATGACCTGTATTTAAAATCTAAATGTGTTAAGGTTAGTGAACACTGGCAGCCATACTTAATTATATTACCGAACAATAATACTGGTGCAAAAAAGATTCAGATATTTTATTTTTTTAATGTTTGTGGAGGTTTCTGCAGCAGTTGTACGAGCATTATTTCTTTTTTACATAAATAAATACTAAAACACTGTTTTAACAAAGAAAAAAAACTTGGCTAGTTGTACCTGGCATTCGTAGAGCTTCTTTCGTCCTTTCTTGGCTCCTGCTCCGTTCTGACAGGCAGCCATATGGCACTTCAAGGTGCTGTTCCTTGCAAATCGCTCATGACAATCTGGACACTCATAAGGTTTCTCACCTGAAAATATAAAAACCCAAAAATGCTAAAGTTGCATATATAATTATAGAATGGCTGTATAAATGAAAAATTATGAACAGAATCCATGTAAAATTAGTAACTTAAACTGAGCTTTTTTGGTTTTATATTTCAAATCTCACCAGTGTGCTTCCTTAAGTGCTCCTTAAAGTGGCCAAAGTGGTCAAAGTGCTTCTTACAGTATTCACAGATGTGCACTTTCTTTTGAATTTTCTGCCCTCGAGACAGTTCCTCTGCGTCATAATGAAACGTGCTGATGTGCTGCTTCAGGGCGCCCTCCCGTGTGTAAGCTTTTCCACAGTGGTTACATAGATGAGGCTTCTCCATAGAAGCCAGGTGAGTTTTCAGGTGCTGCTTGAGATGGTAGTACAGCTTAAAACTACGGTCGCACTTGCTGCAGCGGAAAATGTCTCCTTGGGAGATCTGGACTTCTACGACTTCAACGTTTTCCAGTACTTTGGAGGCTGTCACGGTTTCCTCCTGATACAGGACCTCCTGCAAAGTGAAAACTGAAATTTGTAGAGAATGCTTCCCCAAGGGCAAGTATATACATATTTAAGAAATAAATAATAATACAAAAAAATACCTCTTCATCCTTCTTGATCACATGAATTGTTGGCTCCCCCTGCTGGTATTTGCTAGTTATGTCAGCAAGAAGAGCCAAAGCAGAGTCATCTGATGCAGATTGAGCAGTCTTTCCATCCACCACCTCCTCCAGTCCAGTCTCCACCACTTCGATCTCCACCTAGAGGACAGCAAAACATTTAATCCATACCTTTAATTAAGGTGATCATCAGCTTGAATGTCATATGCTTATGGCTTTGATTAACGTATTTGTATTTCCAATGTGAAATGATGTAACAAGAAACAACTTTGGTGATTTTTGCAAACAAAAGCTCATTGTAAAAAGTTGTAAAAAAAAAAAACCTATAGCTTTACACTCTTAACTGCATAACAATTGTATGAACTGTTCTTTAGCAAGCTGCTGCACTTGGCTACTGTGAAGAAGTTTTATTTGTATTAAATGATGTTCCTTTATGTGTCATATAAATGTAATGTTTTTTGAACCATAGTCAAGGTGTTTTGTACAAACTAATGAAACATGATGTGTCTACTGAAGTAAGTTTTTCAGGGTTGCTGAACTTCCCCAGACAGTTATTTGGGAACTCGCTGTTTTTCCCGTGACCTTCCCTGCATGGAGATGTTTAGTTTTCACCTCCCATGGACATTAAAGTGAATGAGCATACAAGGTTTCGTATGTTTTCCTTTGTTTCTTTTGTTTGGTCTTCGAAGATTGAGTCTCCGCCTCGGTAGTAAAGAGATGAATAAAGTAACTATGCAACTCTGGGTTCCTCAGAGTGGATCCTAATTTGTGCCTAATGCAGTATATTTCTTGCTCTCCGTCTGCAGATGTATTAAAGATTGTTTTTGCTCCCTGACTTTTGTCTGGACCTCAGTCTCTTAATTGTGCACTTCACACTACTTTTTGTCATCAACAATATATAGGCTAGATACTGGCCCACTCTTCTTCAAAAATGTCAGAGTTAATTTAAACTGGTTGATTGATTTGCAGAGAGCAGACATTTCCATTAGAGTTTAGGTCAAGGCCATTCCATAAGCTTAAATTAACCACTCCAAATCCCAGTATTGGTATGTTTGAGAATATTGTCATTCTGAAAAATTGTGAAAGGAAGTTAGTGAGGGTGTTCAAAAGAGAATCTCAGGTACCACTATTTGTCTCCAGAGTCACTGTCCACAAAAATACTAATTTTCAGTCAACACAGAGAAGATGCCGACCAAAAAAATAGGTCTTGCTCTAAAGTCAAAATCTTTTAGCTTTGATGATCTTTCATCATCTTTAATGCCTACATTAGTGACAAAATGCTAAAGCACAAGGAGAGTGACTGAGTTATCAAGTTGTTGTAAAAGAACAAGAAGTGTGAGAATTTGGCTTAATCACAACTGATATTGCAATATTCAACAATAATATTGTGATTTGCCATTTTTCTAATATTGTGTTTTATAGCCAGATCAGACAGATATTGAGCTATTTGGCACAAAAGCAAGAAAAAGGTTTGGAAAGTCAAAGGGGAAAAAATTTAAACTAAAACAGGGTAGCATCATTATCTGTTTATGGTCTAGTTTTGCACAAAGAGGATGAACTAATTAAATTACAATAATGTTTAACAACATTAGTAAATTTGAACTTGTGCACAAACTGATGAATGTATGCATACCTTTAATCAGAACTACACATATACACTAACCTGCTCTCCCTCCACTGTCGGTAAGGTTTCTGTAATCACATTAGATGTCTCTGCAATCGTCCTCTTCTTAGCAATGCTTTTTGTTGTAACTGAGGAATTTATTCTTTAAAAAGAAATAAAAAATCACAGTTATTTAATAATCATCACTTAGGCATGAGATTTTATCAGTACAAGACATATGGTTATTTTGCTTATGTCTTACTTCTTGAGGG